CAGCTCACTCACCACAGACTGCTTTAGTGAAATTTAACTCTGACTGCACTCATTTAGAGTTCTCTGACCTGGCGGGGAAGTCAGAGGTTTGAGGGCATTTGCTTGTTACTGCTTAGCAGGGGGCTGGATAAAGAGCTGGGAACTGGAAGGGGGAGACCTGCTTTTGAGCTGCATTTATTGCTGAATGACCTTGGACAGACTCTGTAGACCTCTCTGGCCCCTTCTCCCACTTAGATTTGTGGGGCCTTTTGAGCTTCCCAGCCTAACTTGGGCTTTTGGGTCTGTAGCCCAAGCAGATATTACATACAAATGCTGTGGTTGATTGACCGTGGACTTTATAGTTTCTTTCTGAAATGCTCTCTTCTTGTGTTAGCCCTGCTTGGACTTCCTGTCTGTCTTTTAGACACTTTGCTTGAGTGGAAGTCACCCCTCTGTTTGTCCCCGTCTGCTGCTTCATGAACACCACATTTACATTTCATGCCTATTTCAGTGCTTTCAAGCTCAGGGGACTCTAACGATCTCGGGGGACCAATGAGGAAGTCGTAGGGTCTGGGCAGCCAGTCCTTAGTTTATAACCAGAAGCATCAACCCAGCAGAGACTCCTGTATTCACTCTGCCATGACCAGGCATGGCTTTTCCCGGAAGCCTGATAATGGAACTGTCTGGCTAATGGGCACAGAGAGCCACTATTTAGAGCCTTTCCCCTTTCTCTTTCAATTTGCAGCACTTTTTATGAAGACTGGTCTTTTGTGATGGACGAAGAAAGGTCTAGCATGCTTCCCACCATGGCAGCTGGTAAGCCCGGGCAAGGCGGGTGATGGGTCCTGTGAAGCAGAGGAGGGATTTTCCTTATTCCTCAGCAACTTGAGGCTCTTGCCACTGCCCTTCCTCAAATGGCATTGAATTTGATACCCTGGCAGGGAGAGCATGGGGTTGGGGGTTTTTGGCTGTGGCTTTGCAAGTATAATGTAAAGACCTGGGGGTTGGAGACAGGAGACCTGCCTTTGAAGCCTGGTCCGACCCCTTACCAGCTGGGGACCTGGGGCAGATGCTGTTACCGTTACTTTCCTCCTCTGCAAGGTGGGGGTCCAGATGGCATGGCCATCGCCATATGGGGCTGTGAGAGAATCAGATGTGATAGTCATGTACACCATTTGTCAGCATGCAAACCTGGAATCATGTTTATTCGTGAATTATTAAATTGTTTATCATTTGACTCGAACTCAAAGGGTAAAACCACCTAACAGAAGTGGGCAACTTGCTTCTTTCTTCTAATTCCTTTGTTGCCTCCTTTTTCTTTTTCTTTCCTGAAAGTTTGCACCAAGGCCCACATATTGAGAGTTATGTTAGTCCAGGCTAGTGGTCGGCAAACTCATTAGTCAACAGAGCCAAATATCAACAGTACAACGATTGAAATTTCGTTTGAGAGCCAAATTTTTTAAACTTAAACTATATAGGTAGGTACATTGTTATTAACTTAATTAGGGTACTCCTAAGGCTCACTCAAGGGGCCAAAGAGCCGCATGTGGCTCGCGAGCCACAGTTTGCCGACCACGGGCTTAGGCCATTGATGAGAAAGAGTCAGGGTTTGACCGTGATTTCCTGTGGGCCAGAGGATACCAGTGCAAATTTTTGCATAAGTAATGCTACTAATGACATTGGTGCACCTTTTGTGATTGCTTACTGAGCTGAGTGTTTTTGGTGGGTGATGGTCTTTAGAGTTAACCTGTGAAAGAGATATTGTGCCCCCATTTTACAGATAAGGGAAATAAGCTCAGAGAGGTTATAAATGGCTTGACAAGGTCTCGTAGCTTGTACGTGGCAGTGCTGGGATTCAATCCAGGCAGTCTGACCTCAGAATCTATGGCTTACCTTCCCTCCTGACAGAGAGGAAGAGAATTTGGGGTGACTCAGCTGCTGTGATAGCTGCTGTCCACTGACCCCAGTTGTGGGAGGTTTCAGTCAGCGTCTAAGATCAGTGTGTGCCCTCCTGTGTACTGTACTGTCTGCAGCTTGTTTGTCGTGTGGGAGGCGTGACTGTCCAACAACACACACTCCATGCTTTTCCTTTTGTGCGGCAGGTCTGAATTCCATCCTCTTCGCGATCAACATTGACAACAAGGATTTAAATGGGCAGAGCAAGTTTGCTCCTACTGTCTCGGACCTCTTAAAGGAGTCAACGCAGAATGTGACTTCCTTGCTGAAGGAGTCCACGCAAGGAGTGAGCAGCCTTTTCCGGGAGATCACGGCGTCCTCTGCTGTCTCCATCCTCATCAAACCTGAGCAGGAGACCGACCCCCTGCCCGTCATGTCCAAGCACGTCAGTGCAGGTGAGGGAGAGCGTGTGAGGTAGAGCAGAGGGGCCAGGTAAAGGATGACAGGCTGTGGCTGAGGTGGACACACCTCGTCACCTGAAAGTGCCAAGGGGCCTGAATCTGACACACTTGCATTCTCAGCTCACATTTGTTTTCATTTTTTTACCCGTGCTGAGAAAGAGCCTCACCTAGATGGGAAGATAATAGGGTAAAAGAGCAAAAGGTCAGCCAGAACAAACTGAGAGCAAGGGTGTGAGGGCCACGGGAAGCCAGATGAGGTTGATCTTCATTCATTTATTCTTTTGTCCATTCATTCATTTGTTCACTTAATGCATTCTGTGTGCTAGGCTGTGAGCCAAGTAAGACAGATTACAGGCATTCAGCTGTCAGTCTTTTTTGGAATGGGTGGGTAGACATTTAATGAAAAATTATTCATATAATCAATTATCCTGATAAATGGGATGGAAGCCAAGCATAGGGTGCTATGGAGAGTGTATACTATTGGGCTTGTCTCTTTTGGGGGGAAGACATTTAAGTGGAGGCCAGGGAAAGGGATTAATTAATTAATTAAGATTAATTTTGTGACATGTTTACAACCGTCCTGAGCCTTCTGGGACATCCAGAATGTTGATAAAGAAAAATTGTAAATTTTGGGTTTAGTACTTAGTCTTGGTATTCTCAAATGCCTTAAACAAGGCAGTAATCATGGACATCCTTTTGGGGTTATTAATGATTTTGAAAACTCAGAATCTTATGGTGTCTTTGGTACACACTGTTTGCCCTCTCCTTCCCAAGCAGAGGCCCCAGGTGAATGAGATAGAAACAGGACTATGAGGGCTTTGTGTAACAGACAATGGAATTTGTATACCCAAAGCAGTGTTTTTTCCATTCATTGTGGACTCCCTGCTTTTGACACTGTCTTAAGAGTTGTAATGCCCGGGTGAAGCATGCCACACATTGGTTTAGATGGAATGGAGTTTTGGGAATAGGTTCAGGGTGATGACTAAGATGTGTAAACTGGCTCATCTAAGCACTGGTCACCAAGGCAGTCTTATTTTCTGTTTCCATTGGCCTTGTTGTGTAACAAACAGTGTAAAAAATGTAGTGGCTTAAAACAACCATGATTTGCCCTAACCAGTTTGGCTCAGTGGCTAGAGCATTGGCCTGCGGACTGAAAGGTCCCAGGTTCGATTCCAGTCAAGGGCATGTACCTTGGTTGCGGGCACATCCCCAATAGGGGGTGTGTAGGAGGCAGCTGATTGATGCTTCTCTCTCATCGATGTTTCTAACTCTCTATCCCTCTCCCTTCCTCTCTCTAAGAAATCAATAAAAAGTGTTTAAAAACAAAAACAACAACAATGATTTATTATTTTTTTTATGATTCTGTGTGTGGCTTGGCGATCTGGTTTTCTGCTGGTGTCACCTGGGCTCACTCATGGGGCTGCATTTGGCTGGCAGCTGAGCTGGAAGATCCCAGACGCCCCCCGCCCCGTGCCTGGAGTTGGTGCTAACTATTGGCTGGGGCATCTCAGTTTTCTTATACAGGGCCTCTCATCCTTCAATAAGCGAAATCAGTTTCCTTCCATAGTAGTTTCAGGGCAGGATTTCAAGAGGGTGTAAGACCCTGTAGAACTCACACACTGTTATTTCTGCCACATTCCATTGGTAAAGGTAGAACACTAAGCCATTCCAGATTCAAGAAGGTGGAGAAATAGATATACCCGCAATGGAAGGTATGGCAGATTCCCATTGTGAAGGGATATTTTGCAGGGATGGGAGGAATTTGTGGTCATTGAACAGTTGACGACTGCCCCAAACTGGTTTTCTTGGTTTCACCCACCAGTATTTTCCGAAGTGAAACAATGAAAATCGTTTCAATAATGATAATATCCTTTGGATCAAAGTACTTAGAAGAACTGCTTAGCCTAAGAGGAACAATTTTAACATTTGCTCCGTGGCATATTTTTAAAATTATTTTTTAAAATTTATTTTTCAATAACAGTTGACATATAATATTATACCAGTGTCATATGTATACATAGTGTTTAGACATTTCTATACCATAAAGTGATTCCCCCACCCCCCAGGTAAGTCTAGTACCTGTCTGACACCATATATAGTTACTACAGTATTATTGAATATATTCCCTGTGGTGTACTTTATATCCCTGTGACTATTTTTATGACTAGCATTTTGCACTTCTTAATCCCTTTCATCATTTTCACACATCTCCTCACCTTTCTCCCGTCTGACAACTATCAATTTTTTCTCTGTATCTGTGAGCCCGTTTCTGTTTTATTTGTTTATTATCTTGTTTCTTAGATTTCACATTTGAGTGAAACCATACGGTATTTGTTTTTATCTATCTGATTTATTTCACTTAGCATAAAATCCTCTAGGTCCATTCATGTTGTTGCAAATGGTCATATTTCATTCATTTTTCATGGCTGAGTAATAATTTCAATGTATATATGTACCACATCATCTTTTTCCATTTGTCTGTCAATGGACACTTAAGTTGCTTCCATATCTTGGCTATTGTGAATGATGCTGCAGTGAACATAGGGATGCATATATCTTTTCAAATTTGTATTTTAGGTTCCTTCAGATAAATACCCAGAAGTGGAATTGCTGGGTGATACGGTAGTTATATTTTTAAATTTTTGAGGAATTTCCAAACTTTTCTATAGTTGCAGCACCTGTTTACAATCCCTCTAACAGTGTAAGAGGAATCCTTTTCTCCACTTGCCAGCACTTTTTGTTTGTTGTTTTATTGGTCATAGCCATTCTAATATGTATGAGGTGATATCTCATTATAGTTTTAATTTGCATTCCCCTGATGGTTAGTGGTGTTGAGGATCTTTTCATATGTCTTGGCCATCCGTGTGTCCTCTTTGGATAAATCTCTGTTCAGGTCCTCTGTCCATTTTTTAATTTGATTATTTGGTTTTTTAATGTTAAGTTGTATGAATTCCTTATATATTTTGGATATTAGCCCCTTACCAGATATATCATTGGGGAATATCTTCCTCCATTCAGTAGTTGTCTTTTCATTTTGTTGATTGGTTCCTTCACTGTGCAAAAACTTCTTAGTTTTGGCTTAGTCTCATTCGTTTATTTTTTCTTTTGTTTCCCTTGCCTGAGGAGACACATATATTTTGCTCAGTCTTCTAACAGATGTTTTTCCAAGGATTTAAGGAAGTCTGAAATGCAGTGGAGCAATAGAGGATTTTTCATGATCTAGAGTCAAGATGGCTTGATCACCCCTTTATCTTGCCTACTTTTTCTTATATCTTTTACTAGATGCCAAATGTAAAAAGGAACGGAAGAAGAAAAAGAAGGTGACCAATATTATTTCATTTGATGATGAAGAAGATGAGCAGACCTCTGGTGATGTTTTTAAAAAGATACCTGGGACCGGGGAGAGCTCGGAGGAGAACTCCGACCGCTCCTCGGTCAATATCATGGCCTTTGAGAGCCCCTTTGGACCTAATTCCATTGGAAGCCAAAGCAGCAACTCATGGAAAATTGATTCTCTGTCTTTGAATGGGGAGTTTGGGTACCAGAAGCTTGATGTGAAAAGCATCGACGATGAAGATGTGGATGAAAATGAGGATGACGTGTACACGTCGGGAAGGAAGCGCACGGGCCACTCAGAGTCGCCTGAGAAGTAAGTTCCACTCTAGGTTTTAACGAAGGGTGGTACGTTAACTGCTTTCCCTTCCTGTAGAATTGGGTGAAAGAAGGGTGCAAGGTTTATATTTGTTTAGGGCATCTTTCGTTTTTCAGGTCTTGATTTAGGAGGAAGGAGCATTATTAGCTTCTCGAAAACTAAGAGAGGGGAAGGGAGTATGTTTGAAGGTACCTATTACAAAATTAGTGTCAAGATGCATGCCTTGAAACTTTTGCTTTACATATCCAGCTTTCATTGTTGTTTTCTAGCTTTTCCTCCCAACTTTAACTTGCTTTTAGCATAGGGAGCTCAGGAGAAAGGCAGGGTTATTCTAGAAAATAGCCGTGGGCTGGTGACGTCCGTGTCTATCCGCAGGGGTATGAGCATCAGTGATTTGCCTGCACTTGCTGCTTTAACACTGGAGTTGCTGTAGACTTATGCCTGTGCAAGGGGCTTGACACATGAAGGCATAAAGCAAACAAGTACAGTTAAGAGCGTGGCTTTTGGAATCAAGATAACCTGGGTCCTTGTGTACTAGCTCCTTGGCTTAGGTTGGATGAGGTTGGACAAGTTACTTCACCTCCCAGAGTCTCAGGGCTAATCAGAGACCTGGGAGAAAAACAGTACCTTCTTAGTAGGGTAGTCATCAAAGTACTGAGCTATTCCATGTGGGCTATCTGCACACTGCTATTGTATAATATTCCCAAGCTTGGTTTTACTCTTCATGCCAAATAAATTAGTTTTCACGTAGGCGTTACAGTGGTCAGTGCTATCCTGATCACTCTGACTTCAAAACCAGCCCACAAGAGTGAAACAGATAGTGAGACCCCATGGTATGACTGAAAGGTACAGTATGTCTTAGCCCTAAACTTTCCACTTTCATGCTTTAATAGTTTCTCTTTTTTCTTTCTCGTGAGACTATGCCTACTTTTGTCTTTGATTGTTACCCTGGTCCTCATTCACGTGGGTACCTGTATTAGTATCATCTGATTGGCCATCGGTGTGACATGTCGGATGCTATAAGCTATGTATATATTCTAATCCGTAGGTTAGTGGATACCACCCTCACGGGATGGATGAAAAATGGGATTCAAAGAGAGTTGAGATCTGTCAGAGCAATGGGCAAAGCTGGGTTAAGGTTAGGTTATGCTGTACTCCATAGCTTACACTGTACTGTCGAATTTTTTCCATATAATTCTGAATGTCGATTGGTTGAGTTCAGTTAGATCAGTGGTCGGCAAACTCGTTAGTCAACAGAGCCAAATATCAACAGTACAACGATTGAAATTTCTTTTGAGAGCCAAATTTTTTAAACTTAAACTATATAGGTAGGTACATTGTTATTAACTTAATTAGGGTACTCCTAAGGCTTAGGAAGAGCCATACTCAAGGGGCCAAAGAGCCGCATGTGGCTCGCGAGCCGCAGTTTGCCGACCACGGAATTAGATCAGTATGTCATGTTTGTTAAAGGTTCCCCCATTGTTGAGTATTGGCATCTTCCTAATGGCAGCTTTGTCTGTCGTCGCTTTTTGTTAGCCATTGTGAAACAAACATTTTCATGCAGAGGCTTTTTCTCCTCCTGAAGCAATCATTAGAGTAGCGTCCCTGCAGCTTGTTTTGCTGACAGGCCGTGAATGTTTTGTTCCTGGATTCCAGGTCTTGTGATGGGCTGTGTTACTCAGGGTTCATCAGAGAAACAGGACGAAGAGGGTGTGTGTGTCTCTCTCTCTCTCTGTGTATCTATCTGTCTAGAGAGATTTATTTTAAGGGATTGGCTCATGTGATGGTGGAACTTTGACAAGTTCAGAAAATGGAGGGTGGGCTGGCAGGCTGGAGGCTCAGGGAAGAGTTGCAGTGTAAGTCCTAAGGCTGTCTGCTGGCAGAACTTCTTCTCAGTCTTTTTCTATGAAGGCCTTTAACTGATTCAGTGAGGCCCACCCAAATCATGGAGGGTAGTCTGCTTTACTAGTACCCAATGTCTGCCGATTTAAAGGTTCATTTCATCTGAAAAATACCTTCCCAGGAGCATAGAATAACATTTGATCATATCTGGCTACTGTGGCATAGCCAAGTTGACACTTAAAATTCACCCTCACACTTGCCTTTAGTCTTAATCTAGGCCTTTCAGGAAATGCCACTTGTGTTCTGTGTCTCTGCAGGTGAGAGCAACTGAGTTTATTCACTTCATGGGTTTTCATTGGCCTCAAACTCAGTCATTTCTCTTCCTAATGACCAGTGCCACTGAGGGAGTCTGGAGGGCAGGCCGCCTTGCAAGCCAAGGTAGTTGCCAGCATTGTGATGTGTGAGACAGGACAGTGCAGGTAACCTTCACAGAGCTGGCCCTTTGGGGCCATCGAGCCTCCTGCAGATTCTGGAGCCTCTCCTGCGTAAACGGGGTCTTGAGTGAGCATTTGCAGAGCATCTTGGGGAAGGAGCAGGACTGATGAGGTGGCCTATGAATAATGCTTTCCCTTAAAAAATTTTTTTTTAATTGATTTCAGAGAGGAAGGGAGAGAGATAGAGAGATAGAAACATAAATGATGAGAAAGAATCATTGATTGGCTGCCTCTGCACGTCCCTTACTGGCGGGGAATTGAGCCCACAACCTGGGCATGTGCCCTTGGCTGGAATCAAACCTGGGACCCTTTAGTCCGCAGGCCTAGGCTAGGGCTAATGCTTTCCTTCTGATTGTAAGAAAATGTTCATATGTACGGTCTCGGTGCCTGAGGGGCCAGAACTTGAGCATGTAACCTCATAGCTGGGTTTGTGAGGGAGTGGCCAGGTGAGGCCAGGGGAAGCACACTGTGGTCTGTCACAGCCTCTGGCAAGGTCAACGCTCTGAAGGCTTTAAGATGCTCTGTTGGCCAAAGGTTGAGTTCTATGCCTCTGTTTGCTAGCAATTAAACCACTTATTTGATGACTAAGGAAAATCTTGTCCCTCAAGATTTTGGCTTTGCTTTTTTTTTTTTCAAGAGGATAATACCTTTATTGTAGAAAGTATTTTTTCTGTCACTTCATATGTGTTCTATGATGCCACTAGGAAAGTAGGGTGAAAACATAATTCAGAAAGAATTTCAAACGTGTGGGAAAATGTTGCACCTCACTAGCAATTAAGCAAAGGCAAAGTGAAAGCAGATACTATGCTCGCCTGTCATATCTGCGAAGAGTTAAAGTGAGAACTGGTAAAAGGCGGGCCCTGGTTAGTGTCCTGGCCGTGGCCTGCCCTTGGTGTGTCCTCAGGCTTGGTATGCTGCAGGCACACAGTAGGTGCATACTGCGGAATGAGTGATGTAAAGCACCCTCCTCCATAGCTGGTTAGTGTTGGCAGCCCTCTAGAAAACAGTGTCAGCAGCCTTAGAAATGACCTCCCTTGACTTAGCAACCCCACTGCCAGGGATCCACCCAAGGGCAGTCTCCGGGAGCAGGCTGCTGCCTCAGATAGCAAAGTCCGTACTTAGAGAAGCAGAACCTCGGAGCCGTCCGACACGTGTGACCACAGAGGAGCGGTTAACAGAGGATCCCATCGCGTGAACCTCGACATCTTAATGTTTAGGACCTTAAACCTCTCAAATGCGAAGTGTAAGAGTATCCAAGTAGTTTGAAATGAACTTGTGAGTTTATGCTGAATGAAAAAAGGCGAATATAAAATCCTACATTTAGTTTCAGTATGGCCTCGTAACGAAAACTATGTTCAAGAAAGAAAAGACACACTAAAAGGAGATAGTGTCTAAGTCAGTTGTGCTTTGGGTAATGTGGTGTTGGGTGTCATTTTCCCTCCTCTTTTTAACATTTTCTTGGTTTTACAATGTGTTTTACTTTTCTAACAAAAAGCAACACCTGCTCCTATGTTGCTGAGCCAGCGGTGGCACCATATTCTGAATTGGTCTCTGCCTCAGGAACCACTTTGGTGTAACTCAGTTTTGAGGTGTGACCCTTGGCCCCTTTTGCTTGGGTCCCAATCCTCAGCTGCTGGAGCCTGGCTTCCCCTTGCACCCCGCATGTGTTGCTGGGAAGTAGCAAGATTTCCCTTCAGAAACAGCAGCAAGTGCAATGGTGGGGAAAGCACGGGTGGTTTTGCTGCCTTCTGAGGGGTGTCCTGACTGCCTCTGGGTGTCTGGGAGTCCCTCAGTCACCAGCTGCTGGACTGGAGCCCCAGGAAGGCAGTTCTGTACAGGTTCTAGGGGCACAGCCCCGTTCATGGAAGAAGGAGCCTTCTTCTCTTGTGCCCTAGAGTGCCATCTGAGAGCCTCATTGTGTGTGTACCTGGAGGATTAAATGATACATTTTGCAAAATTCTGTAGACTTTTGTTTGGTGCCAAATGTATGACCACAAGCTAGAGCGGGCTGAAAGCAGAATTTCTACATGATGATCTCTAAAAGGAGGGGTGGCCAGCTACACCTGCTGGCCAGGTCCTCTACACAGCTGAGAATGGTTGGTTGTTACATGTTTAAGGGGTTGTTAAACAAACAAACAGAGCTAAACAAACAAAAACCCAAAGAAGAATAAGTATGGCCACAAGGCCTAAACTTTTGCTGTCTGGTCCTTTCTAGAAAAGTGTTGTTGATTCCTGCTCTAAGGAATGAAAGAAAACCGCTATGCATCATGCAGGTGGGCAGAAGCCAGGAGACCCATTGTACGTGGGTTTGGAAGACCTGTGCTTGAGCCCCCACAGCCTTGGTTCTGTCCTTAAGGCTTTTGACCGTGTGCGAGTCAGAATCTTTTGAGTTTTTCTCCCTCTCTCCTTTCTTCCCTCCTTTCCTCCTCCCACCTCCCCTCCCTTTTCTTTGTCCTTCCCTCTCCCTCCCCACCCCACCCCTCCCTTCCTCCCTCTGTTAAGTAGGTGTGATTATGATCTGCCCTGGTCCTCACAGCTGAGTTAGAGTGAGTTCACAGTCTGTAAATGTGCTGTGGGCGGTACTTTCTAAAATAAGTTGAATTGAGCCAGCCTGGTACTGCAAAGATCCTACAGGCTAGTTCTGTACTCAGTGGATGTGGTGACGCTATAACAGATAATGTGAGCTGGCTAATGTTTGAGTGACCCCCTTTCTTGGAAGGGACCCAGACATGGTCTGCTCTGATTCTGCTCTTTACTTGAGAGGGTTTGAGAACCAATGAGGCAAAGTGCCAGCCCAGGTCACGTGGTTGCCATCATTTCAGAGCCTGGAACACACCATGCTTCCTCCTTCAGCACTTTGCACATGCTGTTCCCTCCCCCTCCATCCCTCTTGTCCCTCCTCTTCACTCAGGTAACTCTTGTGCTTCCTTCAGCTCTCACCTCAAACCTCCCTTCTTCCAGGAAGCCTTCCATGACCTTCTGACCAGCTCCATGAGGATGAGCTGTTGTTCTACACCTTCTAGGGGGAATATTTGATTCATGTCTGTGCCCCCCAATAGACTGTAAGCTCCATGAGGGCAGGATAAACACTGTGTGCTGGCTCTTTGGCGAGCACAGAATATATGTGCTGCATACTGCCTGGCATATAGTAGGTGCTCAGTAAAAAGTGGCTGAAAGAACAAATGCAAGGGGTCTGGCTCCAGACTTCGTGCTCCCGACTCCCAGTCTGCATCTCCTGCTATGCCCAGCCCTGTCATGGTTAGTTCCCAAGAAGGAGCTTGTGGGAGGCCCAGTGGATGCTTGTGGTGACCTGAGCCCTCAGGGGCCCTTCGACCTTTCACATAGCTGTATTCTTTCATCACAGGCCACTGGACGGGAACACCTGCCTCTCCCAGATGCAGAGCTGGGCTCCTCTGCAGGTGCTACACGGCGACACCGATGTTCTCTTTCCGGTCAGCGGAGTGGGCTCCTTCAGC